AATCCCTGTTGTATTTCTTTGTACAGTTTTTTTTGTCATTTGTTGTACGGAGTCATTATAGACACGCAGCGTTTAAAAAATAAAAAAGGGTCTATATACACGCAGCGTGTATAAAATATATATACATCTTATTTCACGCAGCGTGTCCCCAAAGGGCCCAGTTTTATTATTTACACGCGGGAAAAAAGTTTTGCTGCGTGTAAAATATTTTGGCTTTTTTTAAAAAACGCTGCGTGTCTACAAGGCACCAAAAATTATTGGCACGCGGATTGTAAAAAGTCTCCGACCGGCGACTGAGTCCGGCATGGCAGCTTGGTGGATGGGGGGGTACGTCCTTGTACGGGAATTTTTTGGCCCGGGTTCGAGACTTCGTCTTTTCTCAAAAAAATTCTGCGTGTCAATAAAAAAACCGGAGTTGTTTCAACGCTGCGTTTTTATAAAAAATTTCACATGAAATTTTACACGCAGCGTGTCTGCAAGACCCATTTTTATTATTTACACGCGGGAATTTTTTGAGAAAAAGGCGGTCTCGAACCAGGGCCGAAAAATTCCCGTACAAGCACGGACCTACTCATCCACCAAGCCGCCATGCCGGACTCAGTCCCCGGGTCGGAAGACTTTTTACAATCCTGCGTGCCAAAAATTTTTTTGGTGTCTTGGAGACACGCAGCGTTTAAATAAAACCCCAATATTATTTGCACGCAGAAAAATTTTTCCTGCGTGAAAAATAATAAAACTCGAATTGCAGCCCACGCTGCGTGTAAATAACTTGTGAATTTAAAAACACGCGGCGTTTGAAACAACCCGTTTTCATTATTGACAGCAAAAATTTTTTTGAGAAAAAGGAAAGTCTCAAACCCCGGGGCCCAAAAAATTCCCGCGCAAGCACGGACCCACTCACCCACCAAGCTGCCATGCCGGCCCTCAGTCGCCGGTCGGAAGATTTTTACAATCCTGCGTGCCAATAATTTTTTGGTCCCTTTGGAGACACGCAGCGTTAAAAAAAAGCCAACATATTATTTGCACGCAGGAACTTTTTGTCCCACTGGCTACCGTCGGTGGACGTCTGAGGGGAAAAATCCTGCGTGTCAATAATTTTTTTCTGTTATGTGCACGCTGCGTGTACATAAAGCCCAAATTTTTATTATTTAAACGCTGCGTGTATAAAAATTTAGTCTTTTTTGTATTATTCACACTTTTTTCTTGCAGTGTACGAGTCGCGCCGCTGTAAAACGAGATGGAACTCGCAGTGCACCTCCACCTCGCCGCCGCCGGACCCCATCACAACAGTGGCTGCAAGAACACGCGCCACCGACCGGCCCCCCGGCCCGCCCTGATTGCACAGACGGAAACGCCGTTTCACGGGCAAAAACGCCGCGCGCCACGCCACGCCGCGCCCGCCGCGCCACAGCCGGGACGGAGGCTGACCCAGACGGACTCTACACGGACCCGTGTGCACCTTCGGCCTATAACCGACGCCAAGCCTACGAAGAAGAAGAAGAAGAAGAAGGAAGAAGAAGAGAAGAAGAAGAAGGAGGAGGACGAACGAGGAACATAGGCGGGCTACTCACGTGGACCGGCCGCCCACACCCCGCTGGTCAAAGGGGAGAGAGAGAGAGGGGAGGGGGAGAGCTGCAGTCGTGGGGCCGTATATGCACGGCGTGGAGTAGCGCCGCACAGATAAAGCTATCTCTGCTGGGCCTCTCTGCGGCCCCAACCTGGCCGGCAGGTCCGCGTCCACACACACCACACACACACACACACACACACCACACACACACACACACACAACACCCCACAGAGTCACAGAGCGCCCGCATCTCACCAAATCCCAAACGCAAACTAGCGTGAAAACGGGATGAAAAGAAAAAAAAAAAGTTCACATTTCCACCGCGTGCGGAGCTTACCGTCGACCCCCTCCCCCCTTTTCGCTCTTTCAAAAAAGCAGCAACATTAATAATAAAACCAAAAAGCCAGCTGCCCTCCTGTGACGGTTGCGGAGACACACACCACCGACACTCCCAAAAAAAAAAAAAAAAAAAAAAAAGACTCTTTGCGGTTGCGCCACCACCGCACAAGTCGGAGTTAACCTTTCCTTGGCCGCGTCGCGTGTCGGTCCGTCGGTCGGTGTCCCTGTTGAAAAATGATGGGCCTGCCTATGTGCTCTACGCTGGTATGACTTATGCACGGACGCACCTGCCGCCGTGTCGCGATACGCGTGTTGCACCAAACGGTACACATGTATACAAACACACACACACACACACACACCCCACACAAGCACGCACGCACACACACACAAAAACACACACACACGAGGCGTTATCCCCGCGCCGCATCCTCCTGATCTGGCTTCAATTTGTACACGTCACCTTCCCCCCCTCCCCCCTCTTTTCCCCCCCCCCTCCCTTGCCTTCCTGGTGACGAAAATAAATGTCTGCGCTTCGATTACAGCAAACGTGCGTCACAACAATCAGGCGTACGCGAGGCGCGCGCGGAGGGCTTCCGCGGGAAAAATACAAAAAGCAGCAACAACAACAAGGGAAACCCGCCAAAAACACGGCGGGAAAAACAAAACAACAAAAGAATAATATGTACTCATTTCCACACAAGCGCCGTCGCGAGGACACCATGGCGAGCAGCAGCACGGAGCAGAGGGCTATGATCGCCACGGAGGGCAGCACCGGCGAGGTGGTACTCCGCGTCCACCACCTGCCAAAAAAAAAACAACAACATCACACAAAAAGTCCTCACAGGAAAAAAACAAAAAAAACATCCAGAATTTCACAAGTAACTTTTTTTTGGTCAACAAGAGTGAAAGACACGAGGCGACATGGAAAGTTTGTTACGCAGGCCAAAAAAGGAAACCAAAAAAACTACATTATTAAATCATCTACCGCGATTTTCTCTCCCTCCCTCACCCTTTTGTGATGCCGGTGAGTCGCCGGAGACTCGATACGAAAGCGGAGAGAGAGGGGAGAGAGAGAGGAGAGAGGGGAGAGAGAGAGGAGAGAGGGGAGAGGGAGAGAGAGAGAGAGAGAGAGAGAGAGAGAGAGAGAGAGAGAGAGGGGAGAGAGAGAGAGAGAGAGAGAGAGAGAGTCCCTTGTTAGAGTCGCACTCGACGACCGCGGCGGCGGGCTCCTCAAGGGGGGCCGCGCGGTGCCTTGGCATTATTAAGAGACGCCGGGGCCGGGAATCGAACCCGAGCCCGCGAGTCGTTAGGCCACCGGAGCGTGCAATCCTGCCACGCCCCACCCCGGGGCCCTGGTTATCGGTCTCAAGATGCACACGCACTGGTAGGGATTCGGATTCCGCGCACTTGAGCCTCTTGAGAGTCTTGGAGCAGCGGGGTTGGATTGGATAGCGAAAGAGAGCACGATGGTGAACGCCAACAGGCGGACTTTGCAACGCACTGACTTCGACGAAGCGATTTCTACCCATTAGCATGCCAGAGACTCATCGCGTTTAATTAAGGCACACACTCAGAGAAGGAAATTTTTTGTAACAAGTAAAATTTTTTTGTTGCAATCTTTTTTTAGGATCACTTGCGAGCAAGAAATTTTTTGGATCAGTTCGGATCTTGATTTCTCTTGCCTGTATGTTAAAAATAGTTTCAGGCGAAAAAAATTTTGGTATGAGGAGAGAATAGTCGACTCGGATCAATCGGCGTGATGCGATCAGTTTGGGTGACGTCAACAAAATTCTATGAGACAAATTTTCTCCTTTCAATCCTGAAACCAGCATCAATGCCTGAGAAAATTGGGTTTTTCTTGTGCCAAGAAAACATTCTTGAAGCTAGGGAGCATGCGCACTAGGTGGCGAATGGACCAATGGGGTGGCTGTTGCCCCCCACCACATAACTTCAGAGCAGCTTCATTTCGTCATAAACACTCTCGAGCCCACCCTGACAGCTCTGAAACAGCCCAATGGCACAGTGGTAGGTGTCTGCCTCACAGGATAGTAATCCGGGTTGGTTCCCAGCCATGCGTCACCTGTTTTCCCAGGCCAACCTGACCGTTCGCAACCCGGGGACTTTAGATGGATAGCAAAGGGGCGGGCTGTTTTTTTGGTCGTTTTCAGCTTTACATGTTGAGCTCTGCGTAATAAGCGTGCTAACTGTTTTAAAAAAAAAAAGAGAGAAAAAAAAAAAACAGATGGGATTTGAACCCAAGTGCGTAGATAGGGAGACGCCCCCGACCACGCGCTACCACAGCGCTGCGTCTGGCAGGCGATGATTCTAATGCAAATTTAATTGGAGTTGAAAAAAATGACCGCAGAGCCGGGATTTGAAGCTGGTCAACGGATCTGAGGCTGGGGTGGGACCTAAAGTTCAAACAAAAATATCGAAGTGGACGGGTTTTTAACCGCAGTCCCCGAAGTGCCAGACGGGACCGTTACCATACACTACTGCCGTCGTTAAACCGGGGGTTTATCAGTGATTCAGTTTCCGCGCGGTCCTTTTCAATTTTTCTGAGCGCTCGAGCAGGCGTCGAAGTGATAGCGTTTATCGAGGCACACTGAACAGAGCGACACATTGGCGTGTGGTGCGGCTGGCAATCTAGTTCAAAAGCGGGTGTTCGATGCTCGTCCCCTGCTTCACTTTTGAAGTCGAACATGAAATACAGGCCGAAAATTGAGAATAACACGTTCTCATAATCGATCAAAACCATGCTCGAAGTGAGAAAATTAGGTTTGAATGGAGTAAATTATGATCAAAACATTTCATTAGAAAATCCGGGATTGCCACAAAAATTTCCCTTTCCTGGGGTGCATGAATATCCCAAATATCTCACTCATTAGTTCGTAGAGGTCAGACTGTCAATAATTTTCGCATAGAACTATTGCCGGTGGAGAGCGCCTTTTAGGTAAAAAAACTATTCAAGACTGCATTTCCCCAACGTTTTCTCAGGGAAACGTCAAGGAGTGAGTGTAACGACGCTTGCAGTGTGGGGCGGTCCCTCCCTGTAGCCAAGGCAAGTCTTGCAAGGCAGGCAAGCCCCCCGGTTCTCCGGAGACGCGGCGCAGACGGCCGGGACGGCCCAATTGCCCGCTCATCAAAATGCATGGCGCCGAACCGCACTGTTAGGCCGCCACCTGCCCGCCCGCAGCCTCGCCCGCCTGCCGACGTACGTGGGCCAGAAGACCGGTGGAGGCGGTCAAAACCCCGGACGCGTTTTTAGCCCAGAGTCGCTAAATGGGACTCGAACCGAACGTGTGACCCCACCTATGGATTCCTCGTTCGGAGAGCAATCCATTGGTGGGGGTCACACTTTCGGTTCGAGTCCTGTTTAGCGACTCTGGAGCTCAAAAAGCGTCTAGAGTTTCGGCCGCCTGCGCCGGTGTTCTGGCCCACTGTGCGGCGGCCGGCGCGACATGGCCCGGAGCCGCCATGCATACATTGCGGGCCGGGGGCGCCGTGCCGCGCCGTGCCGCGTGGGTCATTCATTCAAGGAGGCACAGCCAGCAGGATGCCCGGACGCGCCGGGGATGGCTGGAATGGGCCAGGCACAGACACACCAGCGACAACCCGCGCAAACAGTTGCTTCAAACTCGACATCACGGTCCGAAACACCCACTCACTCCTACTCACCCAAACGCCGCAACGCAACAAGGACGATATTTCGAGCTTTACGAGGCTGGAGTATCTATAGGCTTGGCGGAAACACATCCAAATTCAAATTCTCGGCGCGTCCCGTCGCGAGAAAAAAAAAATTGCTTGCGGGTAACAAGCAGGGCCATTAGGTTTCGGTGCGCAGATAACAAGATCACCGCACTGCACGCACTCTTTCCCCTCAGACGCCGTCAAAACTCCCCTCAAAGGGATCGGCCCTCCCCGGGGCCGCACCGAGCCGGGCAGAGCCGAGCCGGGCGGGCCGAGCCGAGTCGAGCCGAGAGAGCCAAGATTAATAACCCAGGCGACAGCATCCCCGCATTGCACCTTGGGCGTGATAAGCAGAAAGCAGCGTTAACAAGGGTCACTCGCCCCACAGCCTACGCCCCAGCCTACGCCCCAGCCACCGCGACCCGGCATGGCAGCCCTGACCGAGCAGCCAGGCAGCTGTCCGCGCTCCCCGGCGCCGCCACGCCGCCCGCCAAGCCGCCAGCCAGCCGCCAGGCCGTCACCACACGACCCGGTGACTCTCATTCAATGCCCATCTTTTCAATGCGCGTCTCCCGGTAATCGGCTTGGACTTGCGGCTGGCTCTTCGTTCGCTCCAGCCCCCTGCAACCCCCCCCCCCTTTTGCAACCCCGCCGTGACGCAGTTCCGCACAACCACAATTAATTGTAAGGGATGATGTATGAGGCAGCCACTCTCTTCCTGTTGCCGGAGGGGCGTGACACCAAGGCCCCCCCCCTCCTTTCTCCTCTGTGGTAGGGCTTTCGCTCCTCCTCACCTCCACCGAACTCTTTGCGTCCGCAACGCCCTTGCTTCCCTTTGCTCTGTGTGTGTGTTCCCTTTTCCTTATTTTATTTTCCAAGTCCATTTATAGAGGAGCGGCCTTTCCGCGGGGCGATACGTCAAGGAAGAGAGAGAGAGAGAGAGAGAGAGGGAGAGGAGAGAGAAGAGAGAGAGAGAGAGAGAGAGAGACAGACAGACAGACAAGAAGGGAGGATCATAAACGCGAAAATCGTTTGCCACCAGCGAGTGCGCGCGAGAAGTTACGATTCATGCCTTGCATTCGCTGCTCCTCCTCCTTCTTCTTCTTCTCCTTGGCGCCCCCGTCTCCTCTTTCGCAGCGCCATCACTGTTTGAAAAAGAAAAGTCGCAACTTTTCGAAATGCCGACATAAACTTGGAGCGGGCACAAATTCCTCGTCGTCGTCGTCGACGACTTTTGTAGCCCGTGACGTCTTTGTGTAACTTGGGAGAACGCTCGCACACACACGGACACACACACACGCACACGAACACACGAGGGGGCGCAACAGACTCCGCAGGGTACACGACGGTTTGAAATGGTGCTGAAAATGAGCTATATGGCTCGCTCTGCGCACTTCCCCCGCAGGATCACGCGACGCGGCTTAAGGCAGTTTCTTCCCCTCTCTCTCTCTCTCTCGGCGCTACCAGCCAATGGCCGAGGGGCCATTCAGGCTGCAGGGCGTGCACGGCGTGCAGGGCGATCCTTGTAACTGAACAGGGCCCTTTTGTTCGACAGTTACTGTCCGCGTCCACGCCGCCGCGTCGACCCTTCGGCGCTGCTCTCAGAGTCCGGCACCGCCGTGCTGGGGCCGGGCCCCGCCGGGCCCCGCCGCCGACAAGGGGCTCCATCAGAATGCACTCATCAATATCGCACGGTCATCGCGCGCAGAGGCGCGTACACGTCAAAAAAAAGAAAAAAAATTCTTCATCCAGAAAAAAATAATCCTGGAACAAGAAAATTTAGTCGACGAAGTTCCAAATAAATTTTTACTTTTTCCAAGTGATTCCATGCGGCTAAGATTTTTTCGTTTTTGGTTTTTGACGCTAGTAGCCCGCTAGTAGTCCACAGACATCCAAGCAGGCCATGCTAGTTTTTCAGCGTTCCGCTGTCAGAGCAAACTAACGTAGCAGCGATGAAAGTAGCCTCTGACCTATCGCAACGGCGCCGCCGCAGAAAAGTTAAGGCACAGTGTAAGGTTGTGTCTTGTGGATCTTAAAGCAAATGGTTGGACTTCTCTAGACGTAAAATTTCCTTACATCCTCTGCTGAAAAGCGACACCCCCCAGCCGGGCATGCAGCGCGGTCTTTGCAGACTGAGATTCCGAACCGCGATGACGACGCATGCCGGACGCACCGCACGTTATTGGAACAACACTAATGACCAGTGGCGATGCCAAAGCCGTCCGCGCGGTCGGTCGCTTCCAACTGCACCGCCTGCTCTGCGCGCCCTGCTCTGCGCGCTCTGCGCCCCGTCGATGGAGTGAGCGGTGGACGCAGCGCAACAAGTGTAAGCCGAGGGAGGGGGCAGAGAGCTCGCTTCGACTAATTGCAGTTATCATTAGTGAGGGCCTGCTGCGCCGCCGGTACGGCACGGTACGGTACGGCGCGGTACGCAGAGCGACGCGCAGCCTTCTCATTCGAGGCTTCAATTTCAGCCTCAACCAGCGGAGGAGGAACCGCATCGAAACCACCATGTCATGCTCTCGCCACGTTCATTTTCCTCTTTCGTTTTTTTCAAATTTTGCTTTTTGTTGACACATTCACGCATTCACGGTAAAAACGGAACCTGGTTTTCCCAGGAGGCCAATGGTGAAGGTATAGGCGATTTCCAGGAAGTTCCTGGGAAAACCAGGAACCGTTTTTACCGTGATTTTTTTTATTTTTAAATTTTTTCTATGTTGCGCTGGAGCTAGTTGCGCGCAGGGAGGTGACGGTCGCCCTCCACTCGGACGCCCCTTTTGTGGGCAAAAATCCGCTTTGCACACACAATGGGCGGGCAGCGGCGGGGCCACCGATGCGGCCCTGCCAGTGTCGCCCGCCTGCCTTGCCCGCCCTCTTCGCGGATCCTCGACGTCCTGCCCTATCGACCTGCTTCACCGGCCGCGGCGCACTGTAAAAAACAAAATCTACACCACTATCCGAGATAAAAATAAAAACACGACAAATAAAAAGCGGCGCAGACGTGGCCGACTGGGCCAACTTCGGTCCGGTGTGTGTGTGTGTGTGTGTGTGTGTGCCGCCTGCATCCACCGCTGATTGAACGCGACGCGAACTATTCCATTATTCAAGCCTTTCATGCTTTCAATTTCCCCCACCCCCGTCGCTGCACTGCCAGCGATACGTATCGACTGTACCTACGCGTCTGTGTGTGTGTGTGTGTGTGTGTGTGTGAGTGTGTGTAGCAAAACTGCTGCAGTCAACTGAAAAACTTTCCGTTTGCCACTTTAGGGGCTGACACCCCCTCCCCCTTTCTCTCTCTGCGTCCTTGCCTGACACACGCACACACACACGCCCACGCAGCGCGGGCACCCCTCTCGAAACAGCTTTGCAGCAGGATTGACATCCTGTTATATATACATCTAAGGGGATCTACATCTGTTTTGCACACCGGCTTGGGTGCGCGCGCCGCCGCCTTCAATCGCCACATTTTCACCCTCTCTGTGACACAAACACGCACACACGCACACACACGACCCGCATTCATCTGCTTGATGTTTCCATACACTAGAGGTGTGTTCGTCTTATTGTCCCCCCCCCCCCCCCCCCAATCCCCGCGGCACCCGGTGGCACTACTACAGGCTGACTCCGAGTCGGGCCGCCGCCGCCGTCTCTCTCACTCTCCCTCGCACCCCCATACGGGCCGCCCTGCGAGGAGAGAGAGAGAGAGAGACTTTGGCGGCACTACACTACAACCCCGATCGGCGCGTGCTCTCCTCCACAAAGGAAGCAATTGGGGCGGACGAGACAGGCCGAAGTGGGGGTGGGGGGAGGGGGGGGGGGACATCGCAAGGGTCTGCCGCCACCACTACACGCCAGCAGCGAGGCTAGCGAGGCCGGCGGAGTGATAAAGAGGCGCCCCCCCCCCCCTTTCACCCCCCTTTCACCCCCTCTCCTCCCCTCTGCGTGTCCGTCTGGCGTTCGGCAAGGTCCAGTCAATTACCCCGCCGAGTGCCCCCAGCAAACGAAACAGACGAACAGGTTCCTCGTACGAGAGAGAGAGAGAGAGAGAGAGAGAGAGAGAGAGAGAGAGAGAGAGAGAGAGAGAGAGAGAGAGAGAGAGAGAGAAGGCAATAAGGGGGCGTTTCGACTTGTCGTCAAAGACCGAGTCTTTGCGAAAAATGACTCCCTCCCCCTCCTCAAAAAACATCATATTTCCCCCAAACCCTCTCTTCCTTCACCCCCGATGATCCACTCCACTATTATAAGAAAAAGCCCGATAAAACCAAAAGCGCACGCAGCAGCAAAACGGTATACAGAGCAAACACGACGAGCAGCAAACCCCGCGCCCGCGCCGAAACTAACTGCCAATTTTACCCCCACCGAGAAACGACAACAACAATCGCTACACAGACACCAGCAACAACAACAACAACAAATCGCTACTGGAAGCAACACCGCTGATCTGCCCGCATCGCATCGCCGGGGTTTACTGCACACGGAGTCATGTGGTGGAGTACTCACGGTACCGACTGCTGCATCCCCCCGCCGGTTACTCACCTGCAACAAAGGGCAACGTCAGCAAAGGGGGTTCGGGAGAGCAAGTCTCTCCTCTCTCTCTCCTCTCTCTCTCTCCTCGCTCTTGCACTCCAGTATGAGTGCGAGAGCGGAAAGGTGCGAGAGAGAGAGAGGGGGGGGGGGGAGGTGTCGCAAAGGAGGGGCTGCTGAAAGAGAGAAAGAAGCACCCAAACAGCCCTCTCCCCCTCCCAGCCAAGCATTACACTTTCAGATGACGTCACCGCGACTGCAGTCGGACTACGACAACGACACACACACACACACACACACCGCCCGCATCTCTGACTGGCGAGGCCCGGAGGAGGCCGCCTGCCGCCGCCACGACATAAAAATAAACAAGGAACGAGCGAAAATAAGCAGCGAAAGCAATAAGCATCCACTTCCGCTTTTTATTCCGGTCCCTCCTCCCCCTCCCCTCTGCTTCCTTGGTTCCTCCCGGAAAATAAGCTTGTGCAATAAATAAATATATATACTATTCGCAGCGCGGAGTGCGGACAGAATCCAATTCGCGCCCCTGGGTGAGGCTAGCGGGGCCGGCGGGGCGACACGGCGACGCGAAGCAGCGAAGCGCCAGCCAGCGGAACAAAGACGTAAATTCGGTTCCGCGATGGGGCGGGCGACGGCAGGCCCGGCGGGGCGGGGCGGGGCGGGGCGGGGCGGGGCGGGGACGGGACCAACGGCTCCACCTAAGGAGAAGGACGCGTGGCTCGATCGCGATTAAATCATCAGCCGCCAGGTTGACTCCGAAAGCGACACCCCTCCCTCTGTCTCTGTCTCTCTCTCTCTCTCTCTGTCTGTCTCGCTCGCACCCCTTTACGGTGGATGAGAAACACAGAGAGAGAAAGAGGCTTACAGTGACTGCGCCACAAAGCCCCGCTGCTGTCACACAGCAGCCTGCCGCCGCGGCCGACGAAATAAAATGTGTTTTGCTTTTAATCGCGTCATCCCCGTGATTAGCGACGCCGCGGCGCCCCGAAAGCCGAATCCGTGCGCGGCACTTTTCGTTGCGACGTTCTGTCGCATGCGTAATCACTGTCTGTTCTGTGTCTGTCTGTCTGTCTCTTTCCCACCCACACGAGGTAAGCCACACGCACTTTTTCCGAAAGCGAAGAAAGACCTCTGCTCTGCCCTTCCCCCAGCCGAAACGGCCACACCACCGGCAGCAAAGCGCACAGCCTCGGACGCCTCGGCCCGCTGCAGAAAGCATCTGTCTCGCCGACAAAATGCGCGTCATTACAAACTGACGACTCATCCGTCAATACGGCGCCTCGTTCATCATCTCCGCGACGAGCGGGAATGAGTGGATGAATGAGGCACCAATGGATGCATTAATTAATGAACGAGAAATGAATGGGGAATCACGAAGAATGAATGAGGAATGAATGGGGAATGCATGAAGAATGAATGAGGAATGAATGGGGAATGCATGAAGAATGAATGAGGAATGAATGGGGAATGCATGAAGAATGAATGAGTAATGAATGAGGAATCGATGATTTTAGATAAGTTAATGAGGAATGATGAATGAATAAATGAAAGAATGCAGAAATGCATGATGGAGAATGCAACGAATTCAGACGAACGCATGATCGGACGACTTGTCTCGGCGGCGTCCTCAACAGTGCAGGCTCCGCGATGACGACAAAGAGAACACGGCAGTGGCGCGGCCAGCAGCGCAAGCTCGGCAAGCTCAGCGTGACGGCGGCGGCGATCCGTTTATTTCTGGCCATTGTCTCGTTGTGTTGCCACCACTGGAAGTCCTCGCTCGGCAACAATGCCCCGTGGCCGCGGCCGACGGGCACGGCAGCACGGCAGCACGGCGACCTCTGACCCCGTCCGGCCGTTGGGCTGACAAAGCGCCTTCTAACAAGCGGCGGCGGGGCGGGCGGGGCGGGCGCCAAGTACAGCAAGGCGGTGGGCCGGCAAGGTGCCCTCCACGACCTGCTCCTCAGCAGCCCAACAACACTCCGTCGGTCCTCTCTGTCGCGCTCGCGGGTCGCCCCGTGGGGGTGCGAGAGAGACAGAGCGGCGACGGAGCCGCGGGACCGCAGCAGCAGCTTGGAACACAGCAGTGTACGAGAGGCAGGTGGTGACACCGAGTCCCCCTCCCCCCTCCCCGCCAAGACGGCCAAGACGCCGCTGCTGCTAATAGTGCCTCATCCTAAAATTTTACTGGCGCTCCTCTCCTCACCCTCTCATGCCGCAGATTTTACAACTTTGAGGAGCACGCCTTTCTCCCCCCTCCAGCCCATCCAGGCCCTCGTCCGCGGTAATGGCACACGGCTCCAGATATTGTTTTCCTCGTAGCGGGCCGTCAGAGAGAGGGAGAGAGAGAGAGAGAGAGAGAGAGAGAGAGAGAGAGAGAGAGAGAGAGAGAGAGGGGCGAGAGTGGCGCGATTATGAATTAAAACTATCGCAGCGGCGCCGTCGCCAAAGTACGGCGATTATCAAGTATCAATCACGAGGGGAGCAAAACGCCTCTCTCTCTTCCCCCCCCCCTCTCTCTCTATCGGCTGGAATCACATTGCTAAAGGCCTGTTCAGGAGGGCTCAAACTCGGGACGCGTTTTCGTGCGTTTAATTCGCGTTCCATTAGAGGACGGCAAGTGCGATCAAAACGAGCCCGGAGTTTTGACAGCCCACTGATTGCGAACAACGGTGCTCTGTCTCTCTCGCACCCCGTGGTGGAAAACGCGGAGACAAAGAGACAGCAGCGAAGCACCGTCGCGGAATGCGAAGGACTGTAACAACAGCAGCAGCATCGCCCAGTGGAGGACTTGCAAGTGGTCCCTGTCGCGGCCGGTCCACTGGGCCCCCTTCCCTGGCATGGCCACGGCACGGCATTCCTAGCCGTCTGGCCGCGTGGAAGGGCTGTGGCGTATGGGCACGGCGGCACGGCGGCACGGCGGGCCGGCCGGGCGATGGCCCTGGCTGCGTCCGAGCCACCCAGTGGCGCTGCGCCAAGGGCGGCCAAGGGCCAAGACACGGAGGGGCTTGACCGCGGCGCGGACGCCCCGCACGCGGCCCGCCGGACACTAAACCCAATGACGCATTGCGACGCGCAGACGAGCAGCACCTCGCACAGTGGGCCGGAACTCGAGACGCTTTTTGACCTGCAGAGTCGCTAAACAGGCCTCGAACCGAGCGTGTGACCCCACCAATGGGCTCCTCGTTCGGAGAGCAATCCATTGGTGGGGTCACACGTTCGGTTCGAGGCCCATTTAGCGACTCCTGAGCTCAAAACGCGTCTAGAGTTTTGTCCGCCTCCACCGGTCTTCTGGCCCACTGTGCCACGCAGCGCGCACCTCAAGTCGTTACACTGTTACGGCGCCGAGCATACTCTCTCGCACCCCGACGGCACGCCCCGCCAGAGCGACAAGGACAGACTGCCTGCCTGCCTGCCGGGCGGAACTACACCACACTGCCATAAGGGCAAGCCCACGCCGAAACACTCGAGAGAAATGATTTTCCAGGAGCTTCCTGAATCCGTCTGGACGAATTTCCAGCCGGTCAGTCCCGCAGGCGGCTCCCTTGCAGAGACAAACGGCGGAGCCTCGAGCCACGGTCTTCGGACTGCTGCCCCCCCCGCCGCCAAGGCCCCGCCCTGCTGGCAGTGTTGCTAAATTATTCAGCGTACTGTAACTAATTTGGACAGCTAACATGGTTAGCGTGCCGGCTGGAAAACATTTTCTTTCCTCCTGGCTTTCTTTATTTGTCGTATTGTTCCGCCGCCGGTCCAGCCTTGAACCCTGACTCATTCCCGAGGGCACCCAAGGCAGGCAGGGCAAGGAAGCTACCTCCGGAAGGCAGAGACTCACAAATTGACTGAATTGTCTCCACTTTTAGGTGTCCGCCTCATAAACAAATAAGCAACCGGAATCGAAGGTCGTGTTCCAAACGAATTTACTTCATGTGCAAGTTCAACGCTTTCTTAAAAAAGGAAAGGCGTGCCAAAATTCAACAACGTTTTTAAAAAAAAAAAGCTTTTATAAAACCACCCGCAGCACGCAATCTGACACACTGGAATCTGGCAGCTCGCGTCATTAAGACACAAAGGACACGTCGCCGCACGGCTCGTGTTTCAAACGGGGGAGGGAGAGAGAGCACGATACGACCGAGAGTGAAAGTCGATATAAAACATTTGTCGCCTCGAAAGAGAGGATCGAATGTTCGCGCCCCGGTCCGTTTCACACGGCCATAGGACGCCAGGGCGACTTTGCGGCTCCAAATCAATGCACGCCCTTCCCGTCCTTGTCGGCCGCGATTGGCCGAATCAACGGAGCAACGCGCGTGTCAATTAAAAGCACAAAAAGACCGCAAAACAAAAAACAACATAAACAACAATCATTTCGCTCCCTTCCGAACGACCCACCGGGAAAACTAACAACAACAACAAAAGGCAACAAGGTTTGGCTTTGTCGAAAAATAATTAGAATGAGAATGCGTTTCCCGCGCTTTTGGGATTCCGTGTTTTATAAATGGGGGCCGCTCGCTGGTCGCACCGCCGCGCCCGCGGCTGGCTTCACCCGCCCCGCCCCGCCCCCCCCCCGCCCCCCCCCGGCCGCCGCCCCCCCCCCCCCTTCCCCCCCGGCCCCCCCCCCCGCCCCGCCCCGCCCCCCCCGGCCCCCCCCCCCGGGGCCCCCCCTTCGCTCGGCTTTGATCGCGCTGGGGAGGGGCCCCACCCCGCGGACGGCGCTGCGAAATGCATGGGGGGGGAAGTGCGTGCGTGTGTGTGTGTGTGTGTGAGTGCAGCCAAATACACGGAAGAGCGAGCAGGGGCAGGTGTCGGCGGGGCGCCCCCCCAGCCAGACGGACAGACAGGGCGACGCAACAAAGCAAAATGCGAATCAAAAGCAGCTCAGGCCGCGGCCCCGCCGGGGGAAGGCCCCTGCGCCGCAGGCAACCAGCGGACACGGCTGCGCGGCGGGCCGGCCTGCCGACACGGCGCTCCGTGAGGCTGGCGGCCGCGCGGGCAGGCGGACG